AAGCCGCACCAGCAGCACAAGCAGCAGCAGCAGCAGGAGCCGCAGCAGCAGCAGCAGCAGCAGCAGCAGTGGGAGCTAGCTGGGATTGTCACTTTATATACTTTTTATGCTTTTCTGGGATACAGAAGGAGACTCAGCCAGTGCCTCGTCTTTCCCCACGTGCAAAGCAAAGGTGCTGCTGCTGCTGCTGCTGCTGCTGGTGCTGCTGCTGCTGCTACTGGTGATGATCCTGATGCTGCGGCTGCTGCGACGCTGCTGATGCTGCTGCTGGCGCAGATTCTGCTGCTAAAGCTGCCGCTGGCCCTGCTGCTCTCTCTTCTGCTGCTGCTGTTGCTCGTGGTGCTGCTACTGCTGCCACTGCTGCTGCTGCTGCTGCTGCTGCTGCTGCTGCTGACTGCGACTCCTGGCGGCCGCGCTGCCGTTTACCATGCAGCAGCAGCAGCAGCAGCAACAGCAGCAACAGTAGGTGTTTGTTTGCTGTCTCCAGGCATTGGAATGAGGACACTCGAGCTTGTCTATCAAGAAATCATCCTTGACCCCAAAATCATAGAGGTCCTTTCTTGCTGCTGCTGCTGCTGCTGCTGCGCATTTGCTGCTGCTGCTGCTGCTGCTGCTCGGGCAGCTTTGCAGCAGTAGCTGCTGCGTGTCGTGTTTCCTCCGCCTTCGCCGCTTGTTGCAGCTACAGCTCTCATTTTTCCATTTTCCACTGCTGCTCATTTGCTGCTATTGCTGCTGCTGCTGCTGCTGCTGCTGCAGTTCACAGTGGAGGACCCTGCAACTTCCTTCTCGCAGCTGCGCGATGTAGTCTGTCTCAAACTCGCAATTGACTTGGGGGTCCTTTCCCCAGAAATGCTGTACCCTCCTCCCCAGGGGGGCCCCCCGGGGGCCCCCTCGGGCCCCGCGGACTCGCAGCAGCAGCAGCAGCAGCAGCAGCAGGAGGCGTCACAGCCCCCGCCTGAGGGTTCCTCTTCGGCAGCAAGCCCAGGGGCTCCTGAGGCCAGCCGTGGGGGGCCCCCCGGGGGCCCCCAAAAGGGGGGCCCCCACTCGGGGCCCCCCGGAGTACCCTGCGCAGAGTGCTTTAGGAGAGCTCTTAAGGAGACAAAAAGCCAGTCTGTGAGGTAAGAGACCTTTAGTACTCTCCGGGGGCCTTGGGGGCCCCTCGTGACTCCCTGGGGGCCCCCCAAGGGGCCCCCTAAGGGGCCCCCCAGGGGACCCCCCAGGGGGCCCCCCGGGGCTCTCGCCGGCCGCGCAGCACTTGCCGAGGGGGCCCCCAGGGCCCTCCAGGGGCCCCCAGGGTCCTCTAGGGGCCCCCAAAGTTCTCAAGAGGCCCCCAGGGTTCTCAAGGGAAGGGGGCCCCCAGCAAACTTGAGGGGCCCCCAGGACCCTGCAGGGGCCCCCAGGACCCTTTAAGAGGGGCCCGCAGGTCCCGTTCGGGGGCCCCAGTCTCATTAGGGGGGGCCCGAAAAGCCCTCTAGTGTCCCTAGGCGTCCTCTGTTTTTACTCAAATGGGTTTAGGGTTTGGGGTTTAGGGTTTAGGGTTTAGGGTTTCGGGTTTGCGTGAAGGCTGACGGAGATCCTGGCCCTCGCTGCTGTTCTCCCAGACCCTCCCCCCGAGCTGCTGGAAGAGTCTCCTGTGAGCAGCAGCAGCAGAAGGGACTGGAGACAAAGCGACGCAGACTTGTCTGCGGAGGCACTGCAGCAGCAGCAGCAGCAGCAGCAGCAGGAGCAGCAAACGGCAGCCGCAGGGCAAGGGTCCGGCGCTGCAGCTCTGCGCCGCCCCGTTGCTGCAGGGTAAGCCTCTAATCCCCGTTTCTAGGGCTTAGGGTTTAGGGTTTAGGGTTTAGGGTTTAGGGTTTAGGGTCTAGGGTTTTGGGGCGATTTGCGCCAGTTTCGTCTCCTGTGTAGCTGCCTGCTGCGGCCCCCTAGCGTTTAGGATCTAGGGTTTAGGGTTTAGGGTTTAGGGTTTGGGAGTGTTCAGGAGCCCCCGGGGCCCTCCCGCGAAGCGGCAGGGGCCCCCCTGCGGCAAGGGGGCCCCCGGGGGCCCCCGCAGCTCAGTTGGCTTCCAGGGGGGCCCCCAGTGTCTCCCTGTGAGGCTTAAAATAAAAAGGAGACTCAAAAGAGACAATTTTGATTTGCTGCTGGAGTTGCCGCTGCAGCAGCAAAAGGCAGAGCTCGAGAAGCAGTGGGGAGAGACCTACGCCATGTACTACAGGTCGGCCTAAACCCTAAACCCTAAACCCTAGACCCTAAACCCTAGGCCCTTGCCACGAGCCCCTGGCCCAGAGAGACAAACGGAGACACAGCCTTTCTTAAAGCCAAAGAGGGACGCCGACTGGGGTCCAGGGTTTAGGGTTTAGGGTTTAGGGTTTAGGATTTAGGGTTTGGGGATTGTGCTGCAGGACCATTATGAAGCTGCGGAGACTCCTCGGGCGCCGGCCAGCAGCAGCAGCAGCAGAGGCAGCAGCAGAACAGACAGCAGCACAAGAGACAGCAGCAGCAGCAGCAGCAGCACCGGGGGAGCAGCAAAAGAGGCGCAGGCAGATGTCTTGAGCATTTGTCTCCTTTTGTCTCCTTTTGGCTTTTTTGTGCTGCTGCGGGTCTCCTGCGTCCCGCGGCTGCTTCAGAGGGTTTAGGGTTTAGGGTTTAGGGTTTAGGGTTTGGGGGCTGCTTCTGAGCAGTTTAGAGAGACGTGGGAGATACCAATAAAGACGCACTCAATAACAACAGCATTTTGTCTAGCTGCTGCTGCTGCGGCAGCAGCAGCCACTGTTGCTGCTGCTGCAGC